GAGACAGCCTAGGGAGAGGAGCTGGAGTTTAGGGGCCCAGTCTCCCCCCAACTCAAGGGGGCCTGAGGCATCCTAGCCCAGCTCTGTGACCAGACTACATCTGTGCTGTGCTGTATCCTGGAGAGGCAATAAACTTCCTCTATTCCACGGGCTGGTGCAGTCTGTTTGTGCCATTTCGGGGTGCAGGAGACGGGGAACCCCCAACGTGCCGTCACAGGGGGTGAGGGTCTGTCTCCCCCATGGGCTGCGCTCAAGGAGACTGTACAAGGTCCGATGGTTTTCCTGAACAGGGCACAAGCATTGTGTGTGCGAAATGTTTGGGTGTGAAAAGTACAAAACTAAGCAAGCGCCGTAAACCTCCAAACAAATTCCGTTTTCTCCAGATTTCAGTTCTCTTGATGGGATGGCGCGTCGGGGACCCCCTGATCCTGCACCCCCGTAGCAGCCAGAACAGACTCCGCCAGCAGGTAGAACAGGGGTTTGTCACTTCTCCAGGATACAGCCCAGCACAGACGTGGTGTGGCTACTGGAGTCAGGGCCAGGCTGCCTCAGCCCCCTTGGCTTAGGGGGTCCATGGCCCCCCCCCAGACCCGCAGCCCTCAGATTAGTCTGTTCCCTTCATCTTTCCCGGCCACCTACTGCCTCGCTCCCAGGCCCTGCCCCCAGCCAGGTGTCCGTCTCCGCCTCCCTCCCTTTGTCTGTCCCCTGGGGGGAGCCTTGTTACCTGCCCAGGCTGGGACTGGGTGTCTGGGCCAATCCACAGGTGGGTGAGTCCATGGGGCTCTCGCAGCGCAGGGGACCCGGGTTACAAAGCAGACAGCCCCCCCCACTACGCCGCACTTGACATACCCCCCAGACTTCTCTTGAGTTACCCCTAAGGGTGCTCGTCCCACTGGATGAGAAACACTGGGATAAAGGATGGAAAAGGATCATGGTATGACTCAGTAAGAGATAGGCCTGGTCCCCGGCACCTTATATCCGGAGAGAAAAGAAAAAGAAAAAGGGAATGCTATCAGGGTTCGCCGTAAGGCAACACAGTCAGCCCACGTGACAATGAGCACACCTGTTGTTAATTCCATGAATATTATTATTTCTCCCCTGCCCCTCCCCCCCGTCAAGCTGTGGTACGTAACATGGTGCCGTTCATCAGACTCATATAAAACCGAACGTGTGCAGACTGCAGGACTGAACTTCCTCTTTGCAGCCAGGGACGCATTTCACTCGGCAGCTCCTACAGAAAAAAATCGAGACAGTCGACCTCCCCCCGTGTCTGTACAATGAGCAGCAAATCCCCCGGGAAGTCTGCTCAGGATCAGAAACACACTCTTCTGGCTCAGTAGTGCATCCGTGTGGCTGGCCCTCACAGGTCATTATTTCCTATGGATGTGGGAGAGTACGGCGTATTAATGCTGAAACCTGAGTATTATTACTCAAGGCCCGAGTATTAATACTCCAGACCTGAGTATTAATACGGAAGGCCCAAGTATTATTACTCTTTAATTCTACAGGAGGTACAGCCAGAATTAGAATTTGTAGCATCTGGTGGAGAAGTTAAAATGCTCGGGAGCTGTCTCTGAAACTCCTGCAGTAATCTTGCTTGGTGAGTATTTCTGCTGTGGGCAAGGTGGAAGCTTGTGCAGGCAGGAACCACTCTGTGTAAGAGCCCCACCATGTGACAGTCCCTGCCCCGAAGAGCCTGGCTTTTAAATGGGGGGAGAACCCCAAAAGACAAAGGCTACATCTACACTGCAATGCTCGACCAGGGGATCCCGAAATAGTTACCCCGCATCTTTTGAACACGCCCGCTATTCCTCCCGGGATAAGGGATGTCTCCAAACAGAGCGCTATTTCCAGACGGGATGCTGTGTTGACGCACCAAATTTCGAAAGAGCCCGTTTCGAAAACGAATCGAAATGAGATGGGCAATGTGCGTAGCTGGTTTCGAGCTGGGGGTGCAGTGCAGACACGCCCAAAGGGAACAGGAGCAAGATACAAAGTAAAGCCCAGTGGAGTCTAGCCCACCAGCTGCCGAATTATGCTAACTGACGTGTTCAGGCAGCACAAAGTCACAGCACGCAACATGCAGGTTGACTCTCTGAACCGCGTCACCGTGTTTCCTGTTCCATCCCCCGACTCTGCAGCTCTGGGTGAGACCTTTTCCAGAGAGCAGCCAAGTCTCCTGAGAGCTCTGCCCGATCCGGCCCGGGATGATATTGCGGCTCAGCATCGTGTCCTTTCTGTGCCTTCTCAGAGGTAATGTCGCTCCCACTGGCCCGGGAAATGGCCAAGACCGTCGACGTCCGAGTTTCTACGTCTCTTTTGTTCTCTCTAGGTGCCCGACCAAAACCAGAATTTGTAGCTTCTGGGGGAGAAGCGAAAATGCTCGGGGATTCTCTCCAGATCTCCTGCAAAACCTCTGGACTCAGCTTTGGTGACTCCTGGATGTCCTGGGTCAGACACACCCCTGGGAAGGGGCTGGAGTGGGTCGCCTACATTAGCAAATTGTCTGGGCAAACGACATCCTACGCTGAGTCGGTACGAGGGCGATTCACCATCTCCAGAGACAATTCCAGGGGACTGTTGTATTTGCAGATGAAGAACCTTAGACCTGAAGACGCCGCAGAGTACTACTGTGGTTACACACAATGTGCACATGGATGTAGGTGCTCAGACAAGAACGTGGCCTTGTGGTTCTTAGGGGAGTAGATCTCTGCAGGGGAGATCGGGTTGGAACACCAAACAAATCATAGTAGAAAAAAGCCTAGCAAGTCCAGTTTCTTTGACGGAAAAGGAAGAGAGAAGGAGACAAAACAACTCTGAGCTCCTTTATGTTAGAGAAAAATTTCATTTGCATGCCGAGCTATTCAGGACTTGGTGTGCAATGAATAGGCAAATGAAAACACAAATGCCTTATGCCAATGTTTCTGAAACTTGTTAAGACCAAAGAACACCACACGATACATTTTTTTATGAGGAACACCAAGGCTGTGTCTAGACTACACCTCTCTGTCGACAGAGAGAGATGTAGAGTAGGCACATCGAAATTGCTAATGAAGCCAGGGATTTAAATATCCTGTGTTTCATTACCATAAACATGGCCACCGCTTTTTTTTTGAAACAGAGCTTTTTCAATAAAACCCAGCCGTCTAGACGCGGATCTTTCGAAAAATAAACCCTTTTCTGAAAGATCCTGTAAACTTCATTGTATGAGGGATAAGGGATCTTTCGGAAAAGGGTTGCATTTTTGAAGAACCACATCTAGACTGCTGTTTTTTGTTTTGTTTTTTTTTTTCAAAAAAGCTCCATTTTGAAAAAAAGTGGTGGCCATGTTTATGCTAATGAAGCACGGGATATTTAAATCCCCGCTTCATTAGCAATTTCGATGTGCCTAATCTACATCTCTCTGTCAACAGAGAGGTGTAATCTAGACACAGCTCAAGGATTTTTTGTTGAGTAAAAAAACAAAAAAAAAGATTGGGGGGAAAATTATTGAGGGAAAAAAAAGGTGGCCTGCCCCTTTAAGGGAGGCCATTTTGAATTATGTTCTCGGTGGCACACCTTCAACTGCCTTGCGGCACACTGTGCCACGGAACACAGTTTAAGAAACGCGACCTTATGCAGTGCGTTTTACTGAAGAATCCAGGTGAAGAGCTAGAGAAATGGCTCTTTTTGGACTCTAGAATGCGGACGTGCATTAGATCTTGCTTTATATATGAGATTGCAAAACTGCTGATCGTTTTGGGCTGGAAGAACGGAGCTGGCAGCTCGTTGTGGAGCTGGACGATAGCTCCAGATTTCCCTCCTCGTTACGCACCTACGCTGTGGAGTGCGCAAGATCAACTGTTTACCCAGAGTCATCGGGGCGGGTATTTTGTAAAGAGCGCAAGTTGAGGCCTGCCAATGGGGGACAGGGGCAAAGTGGGCTGCCTAGGGGATGCTAGCTCCCAGCCCCACCTCGTCCTACGCCCCTCCAGGGCATGATGCCAGCCACCCTTCATCTTGCTCAGGAGCCTAGCAAGTCTATTGGCCTCCCTGCATAACCCAGTTAGACCCCTTAATCCCATTGAAATTGGGTGGGTGCAGAACTCCCTCGTCCTCCATAGGACACTGGTGTAAGGCCTGCGTACGATTCGCCTTACCATGGTGTCTATTTTAACATATTTATCCTCACAACATTCCCGCTTGTAACCTGCCAAAGCTCAGAAACGTCAACTTTCCACCAACAGAAGTGGGTCCCCTAAAAGATGTGACCTCACCCCTCTTGCCTCCCTCATGTCCTGGGGCCAGCACAGCTACAAATGATCCCTATTCAGTGTATGGGGAAACTGAGGCAGCGAGAACATGAGGGTAATTTCTTACCCGTAGGCACCTAAGTCCCATTTTCAAAAGTGACTTAGGTCAGTGTTTCTCAACCGTTTTTTATAAAGTACCCCATTTTCAAAACAAAAAAAAAGATAAGTACCCCCAGTACCTACAGTTTTCAGACACACACCATTTTTTTCTACCATTGCAACACATGTGTTTAAACGACTTAATCGTAGCCAGGCAGGTGATGAAAGTTTTGGGTGTAAAATGTACAAAAATAAGAAAGCGCTGTAAAACGTAAAACAAACATTCCGTTTTCTCCAAGTATCAGAGGGGTAGCCGTGTTAGTCTGAGTCTGCAAAAGCGGATAGTTAGTCTATAAGGTGCCACTGCACTCCTCACAGTTTTCTCCAAATATCAGTTGTGTTGACATGCCCCCCCCCGGACTTCTCTTGAGTACCCCAAGGGTGCTCGTACCACTGGTTGGGAAACACTGACGTAGGCACTTGGGAAGGGAGAAGTATCTTAGAAAATCAATCCTATGATTGACTCAGCCAGAATCTCCAACTCTCTGGGTCTCCTGAATTCTTCTCTTTCAATAAGAGTGTGTTGTCGGCAAGTCTCCCCTCATCTGTGTGTTTCGGAGCTGAGAGCAAAGCGCCTTTGTGCAGAAGATGTTTTAGAAAAGCCTTTGAGCTGCCGGTTTGTTTCATCTGGTTCCAGAAGACGTGCATCAAGAGGCAGTGCAGCGTGGGAACACGGCTCCGAGAACTTCCCACAGATGACAGAGGTGGCGTAGAGAACGTTAACCCAGCCCTATGCTGCCAGGATCCGCCCCTGAGCAGTTGACACGGTTTCCTCTCTCTGGCACTGGGAGCGAACAGGACGGGTCCCCCAGCTGGGCCAGACGGTGCTATGGCTGAGTGAGGATCTAGCTTCGAGCATGTAAAACCCTCTGGGAAAGGATCTGAGAGTCTCCCAACCATTTTCTGTTTAAAAAATCTCACAGTTAGAAGCGTGATGCAAGACTCCAGACAAGACACATTGCTCTGCCATAGTTCTGCCCAATACTTTACAACTAGATCATGGGTAGCTGAGGGTCAGCGTCTCACCTGGCATTAGTCAGCCCAGCTCCTTCTACTGGAGGGAAACAGGATGAAGTTTAATAAGGACAAATGCAAAGTGCTCCACTTAGGAAGGAACAATCCGTGTCACACACAGAACGGGAAGTGACTGTCTAAGGAGTCCTGCAGAAAGGGATCTAGGAGTCAGAGGGGGCCACAAGCTAAATATGAGTCATCAGTGTGACCCTGTTGCAAAAAAAAAGCAAACCGGACTCTGGGAGGCATGACCAGGAGTGTTGGGAGCAAGCCAGGAGAAGTCATTCGTCCACTCTGCTCTGCATGGATTAGGCCTCCGCTGGAGTATTGTGTCCAGTTCTGGGCACCGCATCTCAGGGAAGATGTGGAGAAACTGGAGACGGTCCAGAGAAGAGCAACCAGAATGACGAAAGGTCTAGAAAACAGAATCACAGAACACTAGGACTGGAAGGGACCTCATGGCAGGACCAAGGACCATCTAGCCCATCCCTGACAGGTGTCTGTCCAACCTGCTCTGCAATATCTTCAGGGATGGAGATTCCACAACCTCACTAGGCAACTTATTCCAGTGTTTCACCACCCTGACAGGTAGGAAGTGTTTCCTAATGTCCAACCTAAACCTCCCTTGCTGCAGTTTAAGCCCATTGCTTCTTGTCCTATCCTCAGAGGCCAAGATGAACAAGTTTTCTCCCTCCTCCTTGTGACACCCTTTTAGATACCTGAAAACTGCTGTCATGTCCCCTCAGTCTTCTCCTTTCCAAACTAAACAAGCCCAGTTCTTTCAGTCTTCCCTCCTGCCTCATGTTCTCTAGACCTTTCATCATTCTTGTTCCTCTTCTCTGGACCTTCTCCAATTTCTCCACATCATGAGCTATGAGGGAAGTCTGAAAGAATTGGGCTTGTTCAGTTTAGGATTTTCAGTGTCCTTTAAGCACCTAGAGATGCAGATAGGTGTCTTGTGGGGCTTTCAAAAGCACTTAAGCAATTCAGGAAGCTAACTCCCATGGAAATGAATAAGAGTTAACTGCCTAACTGACTTAGGCACTTTTGAAAATGTGCCCCTGTAAATGCAAAATAATTTTCAAAAATGTTCATGCTGTTTAGCTAGTTTTGACTTTTTTACCCTTGCTCGGCTATCTTTTCAATGAATACACTGTAGGCATGGTGAGAGGCAGACAGCATAGCTTTTTACTGTTAATTTGAAATATTCAAATGAAAGGAATGATTCAGCTAACTTTTTAAGAAACACTTCCTAGAGATATTTTATTTTGAAATGCGTGAAGGCTTTAATACAAGACACGGAAGGGAGGAACAGTAACTGTTCCCAGGAGAGCAGGGTATGTGTATGTGAAAGGACTGGACTAATTACTTACAAGATTGATGTTTATCTCTCTCTCCTTTGCTTGCCCTGACAATTCGATGGCTCAATACACTTAATAAGGAGAAGTAAAGAGATTTGCATCGACCTGTGAGGAATATACTCTATGTTCTTCAAGAAAATTGATCCTGTTGCTGCAGCAAAGCGAATTCAATTGCAATGAATGGAGTTTTGCCTTCATACCCTGGCGCAGCTAGAGAGAGAGAGTGGTGTAAAGATGTGTATCACTGTGGAATGATGGAACACTGTGATAGAAATTCCCTAGTGACCTCTACGAAAACCCAGCCTCTGAAGAATTGCTTGTTTCTGGTTAAAATACATAAGTTTTGATCCCCAAATCTGTGAGTGAATCTTATGACTCTTTTATTATTTATTTCTGTATTTCCCTCCCTTCATTCTCAGAGCAATATAAAAAGACAGAATGGAAGAGAGATTAAAAAGAAGATTTGACTGAACACATTTCATTCGCATGACAAAGTTTTCTCATTAAACAATGGGAATGTAGGGTCTGATATGGGAAGTTGAATCATTCTCCTCTTTCCTCAGTGTTGAATGGAAGAAAAATGTAAGTTCCATTTCTTTTTTTCTCCTTAGTAATGTTTTGGTACAACTCTGTATTGCTGTGTACACTGACTCTCCCGGGACAAACGTGATAGTAGATCCAAGTAAGTTCTTGAAGTAAAGCATTTTACAATGATGGAAATAGAAATAGATGTTCTTGTGATCTGAAAAACCAAAATGTATTCATTTTCAAAATCTAAATATTGCACCTTTCTGTTTTATGAAGACCGCTTTACACGGGTAAAAATAATAGTGTGTCTAGAAAACTGTGTTTTGGGGAGACGGATGCAGATTCTCAACAGGTGTAAATCAGTGTTCTTTCACTAAGACACTGGTGTCTATGGCTATACATCCATTGGAGTCAGTGGGCTAAAATTCCCAACCTCTAGTACAAAAAACATTTATAGCAGGTTCTTTTGATTCCTCATATAAATGGCTCTAATTCCCGCTTTCCTAGGGAGTGTATTTCACAGCCTCTCTTTTCCGTGTGAACGTTTCAGTTTCTTACCCAGACAAAAACCATGTTCTTAATTTATCCAAGTCTCCCCTCACTAGAGTTTTTAGAAAAATCACAAACATTTTTCTTACTCCCACCTTTGTTGGGAAGCCTTGTTGTTTGTTTGAAAGCTCTGTCACATCCTCCCTTAGTGTTTGCTTTGCTGTGTGGTACACACGGCTTCTGATTCTGCTTTTGTTCCCATGGGCTGTCAACCATCAAGATCTGGACCCAAACCAATGGCACTTGGGCACCTAAATCCTTTTTGGAAAGTCGCAACCTACCCAGACTAGATAAAGTGCAGAGGAAATGAATGACCATTCTCCTCTGGCTGAACTGGAGTGCTGTGGCCAGTTCTGGGCACCACACTGCAGGAAAGAGGTGACCAAATCGAAGAAGGTCCAGAGAAGAGCCACAAAAATGTCCTGTCCTCAGCCGCCCAGGAGAACAATTTTTCTCCCTCTTCCTTGTAATACCGTTTGAGATACTTGAAAGCTGCTATCGTGTCCCTTCTCATCTGAAGAGAAACACAGATCGATCTCTGTAATAAATGGGGAATACTTGGCATCTTCACTGGTTGTTTTGCTATCCAAAGGTCAAAAAGGGTCAGGAAAACATGAGCTAGGAGGGAAGGCTGAGAGAACTGGGTTTGTTCAATCTTAGAAAAATGAGAAGGGACATGATAGCAGCTTTCAAGTATCTCAAACGGTATTACAAGGAGGAGGGAGAAAACTTGTTCCCCTTGGCCTCTGAGAACAGAACAAGCAGCAACAGGCTTAAACTGCAGCCAGGGAGGTTTAGGTTGGACATTAAGAAAAACTTCCTCACTGTTGGGGTGGTTTAACACCAGAGTAGATTCCCTGGGGAGGTTGTGGAATCTCCATCCCTGGAGATATTGCAGAGCAGGTAGGACAGACACCTGTCAGGGATGGGCTAGATGGTGCTTGGCCCTGCCATGAGGGCGGGGACTCGATTCGATGGCCTCTCAAAGTTCCTTCTGGTCCAGTGAGTCTATAATTTGATTATCCCCATTTCACAGATGGGAGAAGAAAGCAAAAGAGTGGTTAAACTGGTACGAAGAAGATCTTGGTTCTAAAACTTCCTCCAACACTGACTCTCTGTGTAGTTTGGTGAAGTGACTTTGTCTCCCTTTGCCTCAGTTTCCAATGCGTAAAATGGCGCTAATAGTTCATTAATTCACAGGACCATTTTCACAAAATGAAATCGTGGATTCCAGTTTATGAACATAGGTAAGGTGTTGCCTCCATATGAGGAGAAAAACAGATTGATCTCTGTAATGAATGTGGAATACCCGGCATCTTCACTGGTTGTTTTGCTATCCAAAGGGCAAATTATCCGCGCATTATCATGTTAAATTAAATAGGGAAGTTATGGGATTTCCAGCACTGTAGACTTTTAAGGGCAGGTTAGACAAATACCTGTCAGGGATGGTCTAGATAATGCTTAGTTCTTCTATAAGAGCAGGAGACTGGACTTGATGTCTTCTTGAAATTCCCTTCCGCATCTCGTGTTTTATTATTCCTAGATGTACAAAGGCAGAATTCAGACCACTTCACGCATCACAGACCCTGAGAGTAGAAAAGAGATCTGCCAGGCAGATGGTCATTGAACAAAAATGTGCTTTTGTTCAAAAGCAGTTTCCTGACAAACTGAACTTGAAACAACGGAACTTGAAAACGCCTAAGTAGAAATGTATTTGCCAGCTCTGCATATATATGTGAAGATGCTGCCGCCATTAAATTGGGACTTTTAGACCTTCATTCTTGAAAGTGACTAGTAATTTTGGGTGCCCCATTTCAGAGCCCGTAAGAGGGACTGATTTTCAGGGGTCTCAGAGGGGTCCCCGTGTTAGTCAGTAGCTACAAAAATAACAAGTCCTGTGGCACTGTAGAGACTAAGGCTATGTCTACACAGCAGCGTTATTTTGGAAAAACATCAGTTCATCCAAAATAACGTCGTGTGCATCCTCACAACAAGCCCGTTGTTTCAGAATAAATTTGGAATAACAGGGTTCTTACTCTGACTTCTGTAAACCTCGTGGTACAAGGAGGAAGGGAAGTCAGGGGAAGAGTGCTCTATTTCCAAATAAGTACTGCGTAGACCGCGCCAAAAGTCAAAATAAGCTATTTCAGCTTAAGCTGCGCAATTAGCATAGCTCAAGTTGCATCGCTTATTTCGAGTTTAGCCCTGCTATGTAGACGCACCCTTACAGATTTATTAGGGCATCATTTTTCCTGGGTAAAACCCACTTCATCAGATGGACTGGAGTGGAAGTAGCACTGGCAGGCATCTATAGAAGGAAGAAGTTCCTTGTGTCCAAGTCAGGGTTTCCAGCATTAGGTGTGAAGTTGTGAATATCCAGAGCGGGGAAATTGCCTTTGCAGTGCAAATTCAACACTATCAATTTAGGACTGAATAAGGCGCTCAGCTGCTTAAGTCATTACAAAGGCAATTGCCCCTCTCTGGATTTTCACATCTCCACACCAAATGTTGGGAATGACCCACTTCCACCCTGCCGTCATTAGCCTCATTAACACAGCAACTTCTTCCTGATATAGCCCCCCCTGGTTCTGATATTTCCACTTCAATACAACTGAAGTGGGTTTCAGCCATGAAAGCTGATGCCCCATATAAATCTGTTAGTCTCTAAGGTGCCAAAGGACTCCTCGTTGATTTTTAGGGGATGGATGATGTGCATGTTTTGAATCAGGCCTCCTTCAGGTGCCCAAAACTGGGGAACCAAAAACCAAAGCCCACCAAATCACAAGTCGAGTTTGGGAAATCTTGGTCCTTATGCCCTTAACCCCTAACTTTAGCCTCAGCACCTGTCCATAACACAGCCAGTGTGGTTTCTGTTCCCGAAAATGGTGACACTTTGCAGTTGAGTTTTGCGCTAGCATGACAACATGACCGATTCCTCCTTTCAGACCACCCCCCAACTTCTCAGCCTTCCCTCGTGATTTTGAAATCTGAAGACTCCAGTGGCTCTACCGCTTGCATAGCAAAGGATTTCTACCCTCCCGAACTGAAGATCTCCATGAATGCCGGCAGCCCAGTTCTGTATGAAACCACTGAGCCTGTCCTCTCATCGGGAAAATACCACGCCGTGAAGGTTATCAACGTTACAGCGAAAAAAGACGTGCATTGCTCGGTTCAACACCACAACCAAAAGTTTAATACAATCCTAGAGTCAAAGAGGCCACCAGGTATGATGTTACGGAGCAGAGAAAAATGACCTCAAGTAGATTCTGTTTTACCTCCCTTGGTAACAGTCACTGCTTAGTTACTCTGACTGCTAAGATGTTGCATAGTATTCCCTGTTTGATATTATTGACTGGGAGAGGGCTTTTCAAAAGTATGCAAGACCAGGCCTATACTAGACATGGAAGTCTGTCTTAAGGTATGCAACTCCCGCTATGTAAATAATGTGGCTGGCATCGATGGACCGTAGGCCGAACTTGGTACCGTCTTCACAGACGGAGACCAATAGGATCAAACATTCCCGTCAGCTTCCTTTACTCCTCATGACTGCAAGGAGTATCAGTCCTGACTGGGGGCACCTTCAGCATTCAATTTACAGGGTCTTTACTAGACCTGCTAAATCGAACACCAGAAGATGGATCTCTGGTGTGGCAAGTGGAGATGCGGTCTAAGGGTCCTCTTCACCAAGAGGACTTAGGCATCTAACCTTTGTATGCCCTTTTAAAAACACTACCGCATACCTATCTCTGCCTCCATCCTTAGTCGCTTACCTTTAAAATCTAGACTTTCAAAGCCTAGACTCCTAAATGCCTATGTCTCTTTTGAAAATACGACTTAGGCGCTGAAGTCAAAGAGGGACAGTTTTTAAAGGCTATCTAGGCATTACAGATGCACCTAGTGAAATGCGGAATATTTGCCCTAGAGAAGATCTTCTGTTTTTGTCTCTTGGATACATGGGACCTGTAAACGAAATCGTCTCCCAGTGTCGGTACTTGAGTGTGAGCACGTCACCTGCTAATATTCTTGTTCATAAGTTAAATAGATTCAAACTGGGAAATGGTCTTTCAGAGCTCCAGCACTTGCTGATGTAAACTGGAGTAGCTCCATCCCAGTCAGCAATGCTGCACCTATTTACATGGGCTAAGAAACCGTCTCAGGCCAGAAATTCAACTGAGTTAAAAATCACAACTATTTCATGAGTCCACCATGGAAGGCTTGTGGTCATCACTTGTGTTTCATTTCCTTTCTCCTCAGCTTTAACAACTCCTGGACCGACCACAGGCTCCGTTGAGGTCTGCGGATCTTCAGTTCCCGGCCTCCAAGGTTAGTTTGAAAATAAGTGGAATTTTAGTGCTTGGTGTCACTACTGAGTTACTCCCGTTTTACAGCCTTGTAACCCCATTGATTTCAGTGGCGTTCCACCAGCCAACCACACAAGCCAATCCTTTTAGTTTCCATTGACTTCAAGAAGGCTGATTTATTCCATTTGAAAACCCGGCCCCAAATGTGGCTTGAGTCAATGAAAACCGTTCATGCGCTGAACACCCGTACAGAACAAAGGGTCTCTGTGTAGTGGCCACACGTTTTTTTGTGCGGGGATCGAATTGTCACTTCAAAGCCGCAATCTCTCTTGCACGTTTGCAGATGAAGACACGGAGAAAACGAACACGCTGTCTGTCACTGTGCTGAGTGTGAGGGTGTTGCTAACGAAAAGCATCGCCTTGAATATGCTCCTGGTCACGAGATGCTACAGAACAAAGGGTCTCTGTGTAGTGGCCACACGTTTTTTTGTGCGGGGATCGAATTGTCACTTCAAAGCCGCAATCTCTCTTGCACGTTTGCAGATGAAGACACGGAGAAAACGAACACGCTGTCTGTCACTGTGCTGAGTGTGAGGGTGTTGCTAACGAAAAGCATCGCCTTGAATATGCTCCTGGTCACGAGATGCCTTTATTTCTGAGGTAAGGACTGAGGGTCAGTGAGGTTTATGCATAGACCCTCCTTTGGCTGCATTACATGTAGGGGGAAAAGGTCGTTCAGTCTCCATTGTGTAGTCTCTCTCTCTCAATCTCCGTCTCTCTCTCCTCTTTGCTAATGATGCCTTGAGGGTCCAAGCATTGCACTTAGATTCTAGACAGCGGGACTCAACGACCCAAGTCTTCCCTACATGACCCAGCCATGGATCCTTCAAGTCTTACATTCCTCAGTTCCCCACCAATAACAAGGAAATCCCTGTCTCTTCTGGTCTCGATGCTTCAAGAGCTAAATGCCCAACTCACATTGGAAATCAATGAGGCTGATCGTTCAACACCCCTACGTCCTTTGAAAATTCCACTCAAAGGAGCAGATGCAAAATCCATTGACTTCAACAGGAGACTTTCTATTCACGTAGTGGATTTTGGTCTGGGACTGATGGGAATGTGTTTGGGAGAATCTGACCCGTAACACATAACAACAATCAAAAGCTGCTCTTATTCCTACAGGTTGGATGAAGGAAGCCAGCAATGATTTGAAGACAACAGTAAATAATTCATCAGCTTTTACGCTTTATTAGAGCTGGTCAGAAAAACGAAAATAAACTCAAGAGCTGAAGTTTTTTGAATTGTTCAAAATGAAGCCAGTTTGAGTTCCCCAGAAATCTTCACTGAATTTGTATATAACATTGAATTTTTAATTGAAAATATTGTTGAAATAGTTATCAACATTTTTAGTCTACCAAACATCTACCTTTTAGCAAATGAATGATTTCAATAAGTGTTTTGCTATTTTACTAACATTTTCAATAAATGTGGATATTTTCATAGAAATTAAAAAGTATTTAAACAACATTTCTTTCAGAAAAAATTTTTTTTTGAATAAAACTCTTTTTTGATTAAAACATTTTTTTCCAATTTTATTTTACTCTTCTGCAGCACTTTTTTGGTTTTCTTTTAATATTCCTTAATTTTCAATTCATTCTGATTGAAATGCTAGTATCAACAGATTCAGTTAAATGTGATATTCTTTTTAATTTATTCGTGACAACATTTATAGTTTGCTTGTGCTCGCTTCATTACACTGATGTTTTTATTCAAATATATTTTGTGTCTTAATAAAGTCAAGCCCGATGAAAGAGATGTATTTTATTTTTCACACATATGACAGACATGAAAAAACTAATTTAAATATAATTATATTCTTACTCAGTATAATATTAACTGAAGAGTGCCTTTTAGGACCTAGATTTATCAGTTTTGTTTTGTTTTGTTTAGTAATATTTTTAGCAAAAATGAAACATTTTCATTAAAATTTTAAGTGGAAAATGTCTTCTTTGGAACACTGATACATTTTTGGCCAAAACCTGCTGAAACCAAAAAAAGTTTCAGCTGATAATTTTCAAGTTTGGGGTTTCAAACAAAAAAAAATCAAGGAAAGTAGACTCTCTCCCTGTAAAATTGTATTTAATTAAATTCCTAATTTTCCATAAAAATGTTAAATGGATTTTTTTTTACTAACTATCACATGACGGAGCTATTGAAATCTATTGGATGGCTTAATAGATTCAGACCAGTGAAACTGATTGATCCATTTTAATATCAGTTATACTTTTATTCTAATTACATATGACAAATATATGCAGCAACCTAAGCTTCTTTTATCCTTACCCTCCCTAGTTAAAATTTGGCTCATATCCTGATCTATGAGAATTTACCTCTCTTCCAACACTCCTGTTTATCGAAGCTTTACTCCTAAAGAGAATGTGCCTTTTACCTACAAAGGCATCTTCTAATGTCCATGTCGATTTCTCTCTTTACAAATGATGCTTTTGCAGTGACTGTTCAGCGGGGCAAAGTTTGCAAAGGCTATACAGGCTAAAGCCAAGGTGACCATTGTACATTTATTCCCCTCTGGATTAGCAGCAATACTTTTTGGAAATTCTAACCGTGTAAATCAGCCGTTGCTTTCTCCCTCCCTGTTTTCAGAGTCAGAGAGAAGCCGGTGACATTCAAGGTTCACACACATGCACAATGTTGTCTTTGTTGCCGTTTGCTAACAGGAAGGCAAGGGGTGGCCGTCTGATGAAGGAGGTTGCTGTGGTAACCTGGATCTTAGCGACACATCTGCCCACATGCTCTGCCTCACTCCAGCTTCTCACCTCACCTCACTGCCCTGCCCGCTTCTGCCATGAGCAGCAGAATGAAGCAGGGACATAGGCGAGGACTGTGGTTTCCTTTGTTAAAAAGTCACATGCTGCCAACCACCAAACACACATTTACAAAAAACATTTAGACGGTAACCAATTTTTGTGGCTTGCGACTGAGAATACCAAATTCAGGACAAACAGCTGAGCAATAGGGCGGATACACCCCATAGCTCAGAGTTTCTTAAACTTTTTAAGACCAAGGAACACCAAACAATATTTTTTTTTACATGGAACACCAAGGATTTTTTGTTGAGGGGGAAAAAAAGGTCACGGGAAAGTTGTTGACCAAAAAAAAAAAAAAAAGGTCGCCTGCCCCTTTAAGGGCAGCCATTTTGAACTCTGTTCTCCAGGGCACAGAACACAGTTTTTTCAGAAGATCTCTTCTGGAAAAGCTTCTTCCGAATGAAGCCTGCAGTCTAGACACAGCCTTCAACTCCTGTAGCCCTCATTTCACCGGAGGAAGGGTAGTCGGAGGAAGAGTGCTCTTCCTTCGACTTTCTGCTGTGCAGACAGCGTCAAAAGAAAACCAACCAGCAAAACAGAGCAACGAAAAGCAAATCATCTTAGAGCAGTACCCCTTTAAAAAATTATAGAATCGCGTCTTGGGAGGGGGCAGCGGGTCTGGGGTCTGGTTTTTAGCCTTCGAGGGGCGACGAGGGACCCGCTGCTCTACCCCTCAGGCACCCCGGCTGCAGCTCCGCTCGGGGGCCCACGTACCATTGCAACACATTTGTTTAAACAGCGTACTCGTAGCCGGGTGGGCGATGACATTTTTTGGGTATAAAAAGTACAAAAATAATCAAACGCTGTAACACTTAAAAGAAAAATCCAGTTTTCTCCGAATGTCAGTGGCAGTGACATACTCCCTGATTCTCTCCACTGCTCCTACTGGGTGAGAAACACGGGTCTAGACCTAGCTTGACTGGGTTGTGTGGGGCGATCGCTCCCCCTGCAGGCCCCGCACCAATTCCCCCCTCGCTCCCACAACACCAGAAAATAGGTCAGCCAGAGACCCACCCGTACGTCCACCTGCCAGCTGCCCCGCGCTGTGTTGGGATGCGGGTGACAAACGTTTCCTGAACCGCAGCGCGCTGCTTTTCGTCTGAAGCAGCAGGACTCGCTCCCCCTTGGAAGGAGACGGGAGAACGGGGGTCACATTCCCACGGGGAGCAGTGCTAAAACCCAGAGGTACCCCTATGACTGGTACCGATGGTGTCCACCATCCAGAGAGAGGCGGAGATGGAAGAGGGGTACGGAAAACAGGCAGTGTAGGGCAGTGGTTCCCACGCTTTTTGGCCCACGGCCCACCCTGAGGACCACCAGCCAGCCACCCAGGATGACAAAAATGGGTGCAGGAGCAGGGGGTTTGGGGTCTGGATAGCAGGGTGGCTTTACAAAGAGGAAGGAGGGAGGAAGGAGGGAGCAAGCGAGGGAGGGAGAGAGGGAGAGGGGAAGATTAAGGCTGGGAGAGGGGAGGGCAACTAACATGATAAGGGGTTGGGAACAGGTCCCAGATGAAGAGAGGCTACAGAGACTGGGGCGAGGAAGGAAGCGAGGGAGGGAGGGAGGGAGAGAGGGACGAGGAAGGAAGCGAGGGAGGGAGGGAGGGAGAGAGGGACGAGGAAGGAAGCGAGGGAGGGAGGGAGGGAGAGAGGGACGAGGAAGGAAGCGAGGGAGGGAGGGAGGGAGAGAGGGACGAGGAAGGAAGCGAGGGAGGGAGGGAGGGAGAGAGGGACGAGGAAGGAAGCGAGGGAGGGAGGGAGGGAGAGAGGGACGAGGAAGGAAGCGAGGGAGGGAGGGAGGGAGAGAGGGACGAGGAAGGAAGCGAGGGAGGGAGGGAGGGAGAGAGGGACGAGGAAGGAAGCGAGGGAGGGAGGGAGGGAGAGAGGGACGAGGAAGGAAGCGAGGGAGGGAGGGAGGGAGAGAGGGACGAGGAAGGAAGCGAGGGAGGGAGGGAGGGAGAGAGGGACGAGGAAGGAAGCGAGGGAGGGAGGGAGGGAGAGAGGGACGAGGAAGGAAGCGAGGGAGGGAGGGAGGGAGAGAGGGACGAGGAAGGAAGCGAGGGAGGAGGGAGGGAAGGAGGAAGGAAGGAATTGGCATATGATGGTCAGTTTGGGCGTGTCCACACAGCGGCACTAATTCAGAATAACTGACCCAATTCTGAAATCACACAGTGCATGTTCACACTGCAAGCCATTATTTCGAAATAACGTGGAGCTGGGGGACATCTTACTCTGGGCGTGTCTACACTGCAGGGTTTTTCCGGAAATGAAGCGTAGCCGGGCGGGCGATCAAATGTTTGGGTGTAAAAAGTACAAAAGTGCTGGACAACTTCAAACAAAGTTTCAGTTTTCTCCACAGTTCAGCTGCGTTGTGGTACCCCCCAGAGTGACACGGGTCTGGACCTTCCTCAGCTGTTTTGTGCAGGGCAATCACCCCCTCTGCTGGGCACAACAGCAAAACAGAGCAAGGAAAAGCAAATCGTCTGGGGCCGAGCACAGCCCAGTGGCAGCTTGTGGAATATCAAGGGTTTGACACACAGGGGCTACGTCTACAAGGTTTTTGTGCAAAACCCGGCGGAGTGTCCACACCTCAAGCACGTTTTTGCACAAGAATATCGACAGAACAGCGGGCTTTTGCCGGGAGAACGACTCCTCTCCCAGCG